GGGAGTCTCAGCCTGTCCTGGAGCAGATGTGGCCATGCCCTGCGACGCGCCCCCCTCAGCCCCACTGTCCCCCAAGGCCAACAGTGCACCAAGCTCATCCGTCTGGGGAAGGTCTGGGGATGCGGAGAGGGCCAGAGCAGGGACTGGGACTGATAAGGTAATGTCTGTTGGTGGAACTGTGGCCGAGGACAAGGTGGGCTCTGGGGCTTGGGATGGGGTAAGAGCTGCTATGGGGGGAGGCGCGTCTTCACAGGGTGCGTCGACACACTGCCCCGAGTCTTGTATACTCTCTGCTGGGGGCTGCACCGACAGTCAGACACAAACACACGCAAACTCAATTAAAAGACATGCATATTTCAAGCAATTCATGAGAGCAATAACAACACAAAAAAACAAAGTCAATAGTCAACACGTAGCTTAGAAACACAAATCATGCAGGAAAGCTTGTACTAACATGCCCTAAACATCCAATTATGATCAAAATAAGCTGATAGATTAGAAATACTGATTATATTTCAAAATGAACCAATGGCTATAACACACTCTTACCAAGTGTGTCTTGAGGCATTGTCAGAGTATTTATTTCATGAGAGTGAAAATGGGTTTTCTGCCTCTGAAATGTCAGTGTACAATCAATTGCCTTAAAGTTGATATGCCTGTCTGGACAGTCTGTCTATGAATACCATGGAGCCCAAAACAAAAACAAATGTGGCTGATAAAATGGTCTAATGTTACTCTGTTCCTTGTGAATAATTGATATTCAGGGACTGCTCAGGGAGAAAGACGTCACGAGGTACTGAACCTCAGTACCTCCATCATGTGTTCATTCTCTGGACGTTCAACCTTCTCCGGGGGGTCAGGCTCGGCAGGGACTTGCTTCTCAGTGTCCACCTTGATCGCATCCTTTTCTGGGGGACACTGAGGACGGAGTTCTTGCTCCTCCTGCTGAGGCGGCAGATGTGACTGGTTGCACTTAACGCTCTCCTGTTTTGGGGTGACATGAGCCAAGACAGGACTGACCTTGGCAACTATTGCGGCAGAGCGAGGTTTGGCAGTACGTCCGCGCTGGACGGTCTCCCAGCCCTCAGCATCCTTTTTACCTGGTGAAAACATGAGGTACTGTGTCAATCAAGGAGAAGAAGATGTGAAACTATGCTCTTTTAGGAACCGCATTTTCTCAAAGTACATTCTGGCTCTGTGCAGAAGATTTCTTACCCAGTTTTTCTACCGAGGAGGTAGTCTGTTGACTGGAGGTTGGGACGGACTGCGTGCACTTTACTCGGTCTGCCCAGCTGGGGCCTGTGTGAGACAGCCGGGATGCAGCCAGTGTAGCTGGTGGACCACTGAATAAGACACACACACACACACAGCATGCTTGAGAACAAACAAATGTGCACCTGTACAATGAAGCCTTTACTGTCAGCAGGTCGGATTTGCAATTTTATTACACCATTCCATCTAATCTTTGAGCAGCATCTATAGTGCTGCCTGTCTAAGATGCTTCAACAGTCTGAAGACAGTGCCTATCTAACACCCCAGCAATCTCCACTCAGAGATAGCATGGGACTGTATTGGACAACAGGCCTCCGTCATGATCAATATCCATTTCCTGCAGCGTCCGATTACAGAGCAGTGCACATATTGAACCGATGCTTCAGCAGTCTTTAACTGACACTTTCATCTACACCTTCCACTGATTCTGTGGCCAAAGAGTGAGAGACTCAACAAATTGCATTAAACAAATGCTTCACCATTAGCAATCAATGTCTGTATTGCTAGATAACGTAGTCTGCATTTTCCAGCCCCTTTAAAAAGAGCCATAGTGCATCATTTAAAATATTGATCTGGTTAATAACAGGATACAATTTTAATCAAATAAAAATCTTTAAAACAAAATCATATGCCTAATGGTCATGAGGACAAATTGGGTTTGGTGTAGCACACAGGCCTTAATGCAAGACTAGAGACAAAGACAGTAAGACGGAGCTTACCCAAAGTTGAGGTTGCGACGTGCCCCTGGAGAAGGAACCATTCTGTCCGCTGACGGGCTTGGCATCACATGACGTCCTGGAGACATCTTACGTACCTCCCAGGCTAACGACGTGGGCCTGAACAAAGTCAAAGTGGCAAACATTACTTAACTAACACTAATTACAATCCCTAGTTGCAAAACACACACAGACATACTCACACAGACTTGGCTCACACTTAGGCAAATCAGTTAAATGGCTGATTCACTTGCAGCGATTTATGCAATAAATGGAGCATGTAAAAGTTTCAGGTTGTCTTATTGATTAAGAGTACACTTTAAAAGAACAAATTGGGAGGCAGCTCTGGGAATTTCATTTCTTAGTCAATTTACGGTTGCAGTGGTCACTGTGTTAAAGAGAAGCCAATAAACTCATGGATCTCTTTGAATTAAAGCCAAGGCTATTGATCCATTCTGTTTGTGACTCAAAGCCAGGGACCAGACACCAGCACTTCCAGTTTCACCTCAGGGAGCAATTGAAAATGGGGAGTGAATGAGAGTGAGGAGATAAAGAAAAACAGTGAGAAAAAGAAACTAAAGATCACCTGTTCTGGGCATCTGTTTTCTCCAGTTTCTCCTGAAGCTGGATCCAGTCTATGAGAGCCTTGAAATCTCGTACGTAGTTGTCCAACATCATCAACACCTCCTAGAGACAAGTAGATACAATAGGATAAAAATGATTACAGAAATTACAAACATGAATGAATTACACAATGTACAAACCATTAGAAAGGTGGGTTAAAAAATAAGTGAAATCTGATGCATGTGTGTCACTTAAAAATATTTGTTGGACAATGTTAATGTAAATAGCAGTATATTTTAGTTCCACAAACCCAGAAAACAATTCTAAAAAATGCAGCACTCAAATTTTTGTATTGTTATGTTTATATGCATTACATAATACCAGCATAAAGTGGTATATTATATCTTTCTGTTAGTATTTTCTACTAAGGGTTTGTGACTTGTTAATTATTTCTTGGATCAGACAGATACAACATACATTCAACTAAAACCAATAACTGACATTTGAAATCCTCATTGAGGGCGCAATCTGCCATTCAAGACAGTTAAAAAACTGACAGAGGGACCTTAAGATCAAGAGTGTTGGTGGCAAGCCAGAGCTGGCCAATACATGCTCATGTGCAAAGATTGAAAAGTTTGAGGAAGAACAGAGAAGGCAAATTCCTATTATCTGCACTTGGATTGACTCAGTGTTATCCAGAGGTGGTGGGCTGTGTGGAGCTTTTTCCCAGAGCTCTAATGAAACGAACACAACTGATTGATGGGGAGCGTGAAGGGAGTGGTAATTGAGAGTAAAGCTTCACAGTGCTTTTAGTTAATAGACAAGTCAGGCCAGTGAAAGATGTGTCCAGCAGCAGGTCTGCTGATTAGGGCTGGTTAACAGGCACAGGACCACCGCTATGGCCTGGTGTTCATTTGGTAATGAAGGCCAAGATGGAGAAAGGTTTGCTGCTCCTCTGACAGATAAACCAACAGTGACACAAGGCACCATAAAGTGGCTTTCAGCATGTTAACAGGTATACTTCTCTAAATACAACCCTCACATAACATTTCATGAGGAATGACAAAATGTTTAACCTTCCAGAGGCATGGCCATAAAGTAAGATGCGCAGTAAAAGGCTGTGGTCCATACATAGCAACCAAAACGAACAGGTATAGCCTAGGTTAGAGTGACTGACCCCAAGTAAATCATTCACAGTTTGCATTGTTGTCTTTCAGATAAATAATTTAACACCAGAAAAGCCAGTTTCAGTTCTCTTGCAAAAAGAATTACGTCTACTGCCTCCAAGCCAACAGGAACGTTGATTGCCTTTCTTGCCTTTTCTTGGTGATAAGTCTAATAATTCAGAGACAAAGGAATAGTTGATAGGAACAAATTAGGCCTGGGGGCTGTGGGTTAAAGAGTGTGTGGGCATTATCAATAAGCATGTATGAATCATTTTGTTTGGTGACCAATTTCCCACTGAGTGGAAAAACATATTACATTAGGTCAGCACTGAGGTTCTCATTCAAAATGATACAAAGCATTACAGTAACACTGTAGAAAGTTAGGCATTACTTCCTGACAATGATTATGTTCATGTCCATATGTATTGGGGTGGAAAATTGTTAGCTATTTGTGTGAGAGCACACAATGCAGATTGCCCACAGCTACACTGGGGGTTTGTGGCTGGGGGATATCAGAGCACTCTGCTTCCCCTCCAGATGACTCCATCATCTATCAGTGTCCATTAAGCCCAAACTGGGTGGGATGGGGGATTACGAAGAGCACACAGCTCCATGGCCATTAGACAGTATTAGGGTGTAGAGAGATACAGTGGTATGAGGAAGGAAAAAAAAAGAAAAAAAACACCTACCAGCCAGATGTCTGACACCGGCCAACTGACAACATGCTGATCCCACCACAGGGAGCTGCACTGTGGCACTGACAGCGAGCCAACCACACCAGAGGGAACTGGGCTACGGTACTGACCGCAGACCGTCACCAGAACCATGCTCAGCATAATGCAGCATGGCAGAAGAATCAATAAAACAGGACCAGCAGTATCATACCAGTATGCCCAGGAGCAACATCATAGCGCTATTCCAAGGATGCACCAAAATAAAATACGGCAATCCACAAAACAGAGAATAATGTCAAAAATGCGATTAATTTCATGTGCAAGGTACAGACCAAACAGGAGCTGAAATGGCCAAGCTCCAATTCAGCAAATACCTGATGACAAACAGAATGCATATACAGTATTGTTTACAGTCTGTCATCAATATTCAGTCCACCCAGGCCCAAGAGAGAGTCCTGTGATAATTCTCTCACCAGGCAACCTTCAGAGAGCCCCTCTGACATAAAACAGAAATCAAGAGGAATGCGAGCTGTGAGGGAGAAATTTTCTAATGATCTCAACGTCTCCCTCTAGTGTTCATAAATAAATAAATAGAAAAACACCCTTCAGTTTCTCCAGAGAAGGAATTCTTGATCAGTTCAGATCATGATCATGCATTTCTACCTGGGACACTGTTTTAACACAGGGACTATACACAACATACTAACCCTGCATTCTACAACGCTCTGATCAGATTCACAGGTGACATAAATCTCATCCACAGCTCGACGCAGGTTGTCGAAGAGGAAAGCCCAGTAGCGTGCTCGCAGGTCGACCTTGCGGGGCAGTCTGGCTTTGGTGGGGCTCTTCTCTGCCCCTTTGTCCAACAAGGCACCGGCTGGGCCTTTACTTTCCACAGCAGCATTCTGTGGAGACAAAGCATGGAGCAAACATTATGGCAACAATGGTAATCTTCTTACAGTGTCATACAGTCTAGTATAGTGTCTTCATTTGTATATGTGTATGTATGTTTATACATACTGAAATGGACCAACTGGGAACTATAATAAAATAATAATAATAATA